AGGGAAAGGGAGTTTAGGGACATACTCCTTCACTACTGGTTGCGGTTTAGGTGCAGGCACCTCAACCTCCTTCTCTACTTCGTGTTCCACCGCTGGAGATGCTACGACAGGGCTTTCTTTCTCCGGTTCCCGAGCAGGGGGATCAACAGTCAGCTTGCCACTCCTGGTCATGATGGCATTGGCAGTCTCGTGGGGGTCGCGAGGATGAGGGATGGTCTGCGCTGGTAGAGTACCAGGCGCCCTTTGAGCCACTGCTTGGGCCACGCTCCCCAGCTGGGTCTGGATATCCTGCAAAACAGCCCGTGTATTCCTCTGACCAGCTTCCAGAGCCAGGAGTTGACCCGAGGCCTTCTCCATGAACTGCTCAAAGGTGTTGAATTTCTGAGCACTAACACTGGCGAGAGAACCCACCAAGTCCTGCAGTTCGGCCATCTTATCGTTCTGCACTGGGGCAGCAGGAGCTGCACCTGGCTGCTGGAATTGCCCCTGTCTGGGCTGATATGGTGGCCTCTGGAAGCCCGGTGGTCCCTGTGGAGCTGGTGGTCTGGGATTTGGCCCAGCCCAGGAGAAGTTAGGATGCTGGCGCCACCCCTCATTGTACGTGTTGCTGTAGGGGTCATTGCGCCTGACATTGTTGATGAAGTTCACCTGCTCCTGGGGTGTGGTCGATTCCTTCATCGCCTGGCAGTCTTCCACCATATGATGGGTGCTCTCGCACCACTGGCAGAGCATCGCCTGCTGCTGTCCGGTCCCTGGAATCATCCCGGAACGATCGATAGCTGAGACCAGCTTCGATACTACCTGCACCAAATCAGATGACTGGGTGCCCACAACATGCACACCCCGGCCTGGTGCTCTCCTCGATCTCCTGGCAGTGCCCCAATCATAACCATTCTCCGCCATCTCTTCAAAGAGTTGATTCAGCTGTGGCGGGGTTTTGGTCAGCATGTTCCCGCCACAAACCGAATCGATCAGCTGCTTGTCCTCCGGGAAGAGAGCGTGATAGAAGGTGCCCACCTTGAATGCATCGTTGAAACCATGATTGGGGCACCTGAGGAAAAGGCTGTTGTATCTCTCCCATGCATCCCTGATGGTCTCATCCTCATCCTGAGCAAAATGTGTAATCTGCTTCTGGAGATCAGCTGTCTTGGATGGAGGATGGTAGCGGGTGAGGAACTTGTCCGCCAGGTTGGCGAACGTGGTGATGGAGCCCGGAGGTCGAGTGTCTAGCCACTCCTTGACCTGCCCCTCCAGAGTGAATGGGAAGTACCTCAGCTGGATGGCATCTGCTGGTACCCCATTGATCTTGATTCCATCGATGAGCTCGTGGAATCGCCTGAGATGTGATCGAGGGCACTCTCCCTCCTTACCACGGAACACTACTGAACCGCGCAGCATGGTGATCACGGAGGTGCTCACCTCAAAGTTGTTGGCTGGGACCTGAGGGTGTTGAATAGGTGACCTCATGTCCGCAGCCCTAGCGGCCCAGTAGGACCCCATGGTTTGCTCCTCGGGGATCACAGCATGGTTCTGCGGATCACCCATCTCTCCTTCTTCTTCTTCTTCTAACTGCAGCTGTGACAGCGCCTTCTCCGCAGCCAGTCGCGCCTTTAGAACCCGCTTGGAGTTCCTGCAGGTTCGTTCAAGCTCCTGGTCAAGTGGTAGTAGATCTCCCGACTGGCTACGGGTCATGCACTACCTGCACACAATCAGCAGAAGCAACCCGTGAAGGCACACAGGTGGAAGAAAGAAAATGCAGAAAATAAAAAGCTAGAGTAACAAATTATCACGTTTCTCCAATAACCTAGAGGGTCCCCGGCAACGGCGCCAAAAACTTGACACGCCAAAACACAACACCAAACTGCGACCAAGTGTAATCGCAATCCGGGAATGTAGTAACAGGCAAGTTATATTATCAACCCGGGGTCTAGATCTACTGCTTACTCCGTGATTCTCTATTATCTAGCAAACTAGTTCGAGTGATTGTTGTTTAACTGCAAAAGCAGTAAGAAAGCAGGAAATGGTTCGGTTTTCAAAAGCAGTTAAGAGTCACTCGGGATTGAGTCCCCCTAGCCCCTTAGTTAGGTTCAATTGCAATTCCCTGGGTTGATTTACTGTTGATTAGACTGCGGAAGATCCGACAGTAGCTTGGAATCTCTTAAGCTGACCAAGCCCTCTCAGTATAACTACCCGGCAGACGACTAGTCTTCACCAGGATAGAAAGCTGAGGCTATGAACACAGAACTCCACTACTGGCGTCAAGAACACCAGTACAAAGCAGTAAATTGGCTAACTCTCGTATAGCCAATCTCCTACTATCGAATGAAGAAGCTCTAACAACCTAATCAGATCCTATCTATCTCAGGTTGAAGCAGAAATTGAGACAAGCTGATCAGACTCAAATCAATTCATGAAACATGCGTCATTCGATTAAAATCAAACAATAATATCATCCCAAGTCATTACAATCAAATCCCTAACATCAGGAACTAGGGTTCTTCATACCCAAGTGAGAGAAGGGTTCTACTCCATAGAGAGAGAAGAGAAAACAAGAATCGGATTAGTCATACTCATAACGATGAGGATAATCTGCTCCGGGACGATGATGTTCACTCCTATGACGATCTCCAGGCTCGATTCGATGAAATCCAGCTCCAAGATAGCTTCTAGGATGAGTTCTTCGCACTTTCTCTCTCTAGGGCTCTGTTTCTGCTCTGAAAAAACGATTCCCCCACTTTTGGCTCGGATTAGGCACTAAAACCGGATTTCCCCAGGTGCACGGGCAGGTGCACGGCCGTGCACCACCCCAATCTGGCCGTGCAACATCAAACGCACCGTTTTGTTTATTAAGCTCAGCCTTCTTGCACGGCCAGGCGCACGGCCGTGCAAGCCTGGATTGTGCCCGTGCAAGCTCTCGTCGTGAGGCGCACGGCCAAATGGCACTAGTGCACGGCCGTGCAGCCCCCTGGTCTGGCCGTGCACTCCTCCAAAAGTTTGCCCTTCGTCCGTTCTTCATCCAATCGACCCCAGACTCGCTCCTAAGCCTTCATTCACGTACTAGGACCTGAAATAACACAACCAAGCACAACCTAGCGTGAAATCGGCCTAAAACACGAGAATCAACACCTCAAACGGTGTTAGTATGAGGGTAAAAACATGTGTAAATGACGGTCTATCAATGGTCTTCCGTGTTAGTTGTCTCATTGTAAGTCGGCAGCGTCGGAGGGTTTCTCGCCATTTGTTCCTCCATAATCGTTGCGCAGAGGGGTTGATGGAGAACATTTTTGTGGGGAGCCGTGTAGGCGGGTGACAGGTGTTGCTCGAGGTATTCGAGATCCTACCGCCCTTCCCTAGTTGCGAGGGCATTCTGAGGCGCGAGTTTTGGCGTCGGACTTGCGGTTCGGAGCGCGGTTGGGTTTACATCAGGAGGGGAGGTGTTTGGTTGGGCGCTCAGGAGCGCGAATACTTGGCTCATTTTTCCTTACATGTCGGCGATGGCTCTGTTTTACCTCTCTATTTGCTGGCGCATTTTCTTTGAGGACAAATCCACTTCTTCTTCCTCAATCAGCACGGTGTCGGGGTTGTCGCTCGAGTGGAAGAGTCTCATTGCATCCGGATTTGTGGGTGCATTGAAGAGGCTTTGGCTGACTATGGCTTTGAGCGGGGTTGTCTCCTCTGCCGAAGAGTTCGCGGGTGTGGTATGTTGCCCTTCCCCATCGAATCTTTTGTCATTCCCCACGGTGGGCGCTAATTGTTTGTGCAAGGCTGGGTGTAGGAGGCTTACACGGTCATTCAGGGTATTAACGTTGATTCGATAAGGAAATGGATTATTCACTATTGAAAGACTGATCTCTTCCAAGTAAATAACAAAGGAGAGTTCCAAAATAGAGAGATTACATGGAGGTTTCTAGAGAGAGAGAGGAAAAAGTCCACTTCTAAGTGTATTAAATGTGGTATTTGTAGCCTACTTTGGTTTGGTGGGTGAATCTCAGTGACAAGGCAAGGTATTTAGAACAGATACGCGGGCCCACCGGCATTCCTTCCGCCGGTTCTGCTGCACGTCTACGATGCGTGGGATCCGCGGACGTGTCTACGCGGATCCTGTTGGGAAGGTGCAGACTTCTCGCGGTGTTCGGCGAGTGAGTGGGATTGAGCGCGACGCGTGCCTCTCACGCGCCCTTTTCGGCCTTTTCCCCAATAATAATTAATTTTTATAATTTTAATAATCTTTGGTCGAAACAATCTCGAAGCTCGAAGCCCATCAAGTGGCCAAGACATATAGCTACCTCATTTTTTCCACTCGAGCGTTGATTTGTTGGCATTGTGGTTAAACCAATGTGAAACTGATATATCAAATTAGATTTAACCATAAGTAGTCATTCTACAAAGTTCTAGTGCCCAGTTTAACGCTGACTGGTGAACAATGCCTACATTAATAATAACTACAATGACAAAAAGATTTTAATAATTATTATTATATTATTAAAAAATAAAATTATAACTATAATCTCTCCTAAACTCTCAACTATATATCTATGAATTTCCTTCCTTCCCTCACCCCAATTTGGGATAAGACAAAATAATAAATTTTTACCTATATTTTGCACTCCTAATGGTATATAAAAAAGCAAATAGAGAATAACATTTTTTGAACTTGGACTGAATCTCAAATCCCCTTACAAAGTGCAAATGATAGGAAATCCAAATTACAACCTCCGGGAGTTAACGAATAACGACGTATTCCTTCAGGATCGCATTGACACTAAACTTGGGATCGTTTGGAACCTTTGATTCTGGAAATAATGTATTACGAGAATGTGTGTATTAAGATTATGTGTATAATAAGAATGTGTGGTTTTGAAAATTCATTGTTTGGAACCCATACTAGAATACATGGATTATAGTTTAAATGAACTATGGGTACTAAAATCTCACCAGAAAGGTAAGATTATGAATACATCATTTCAATGTATTAGGAATACAACATGAATTATAAATACATGCATTATGTTATTACATCAAGTCAAAAAACGTTGTATTCAAAAAAGACATGTATACTAAGAATACAACATCTTGAACGCACTTCTAACACTTGTTCCACTTTTGGAAGACCCTGCGTTATATCACCAGATCTTGATTTTTCATATATAAATGTAACTATTGTATCCCCTTCGGAAAGGATTTTTCCGTACTGGCCATGAACAGTTTCTTCCGGAGTGGCCAAATAAGATTTAGCAGATCTTATTATAACAGAGTCAACGTAAACAATTTTAACTTTTCAAATTTACAAACAGGTCCACTACTTGTTGCATGCTTTATAAAATTGTGGCATGCTTTATGGTTGTGGCATGTTTTGAGATTGTGGCATGCTTGAGGAAGTTGTGGCATGCTTTGAGGTTCTGACATGCTTTAAGGTTGTGGCATGGTTTGAGGAGATCGTAGCATGCTTTTAGGTTGTGGCGGTTGTGGTATGGTTCGTGGTCACCCTTCATTCTTTCCTCTCCTTCCCCAATTTTTCATAATACCAAGCGTGCCCCTCCTTCCCCTTCCCCCTCATTAATTGTGGCCAACTCATTTAAATGGAAAAGTCGTCCAAACAAAATGTTCCCATTGGCTAGAGCTAGAGTTAGCACCATGCGTTTCGGTAAAACCGAACCGAACAAAAATCGATCGAAGCCAAATTTAACCTTATTAGGTTCAGAATTCGGACTGAAATAAATCATATTTCCGGAGCCAGCTTTGTTTGAACCTAACCGTGAAACCGAACTTCCGAATTTTCAACACAAATGTGATCTGCGCAGGGCCCAGGCCTAGCCCAACCAAATTTTACAACCTTCAGCCCATTCCCTGTTATCCTAATGCCGCCCAACCCAACTCCATTCTTCCACTGACCCACCCTAATCAAAACCAGACCCAATTCCCATCGACATCTCTTTCTCTTCAGCCTTTGCCGCATGTATTGTAACCCTAGGTCATGACAAGACAAGAGGATTCCAATTCTGAAGTCCAACCAAAGCCTACATTCACCAATCGACATGACCAACAATCAGAAAGCTAGCAGACAAAGAAATACTGGCAGCTCCACTAACACCGACAGTCAACCGATTCAAAATGAGAACGTCCCTGTTTTGGTATGATATTGTTCAATTGTGAGATTTCATTGGGTTGATAGCTAGGAGTCTAGGAATGACATAGTAGATTTATCAGACTTGGTTGAGTTTATGAGAGGCAGATTTGTTGAACTAGCTAGAACTAGTATGCGTGTATATATGTAATTTTGTATGGAATGTTGTAGAAAATAATTAGTGTGTAGTTGGTCGTGTCGCTAGTTTTGGAAATGAAATAAATGATAAAGCTCTCTAACATAGCACCATTCTCCCAAATAAACAAACCCAAAGCTTCACATTCCTCTCTTCAAACGTGTTTGACTAGTTGGAAATAAATGATAAAGCTCTCTATCAAGCTACCTTTTGTATCTTTCTTAATGCTACTATCACTTGTGTTTATTGATGGTGTATTGGTGATGGAAGTATACTTAGTTTATTGATGGTGTAGGAAGAGGATTCATCCGGTGAGGCTCCTAAGGAGGAAGTTGTTGCTCCTATTGTCCTCTCTACTAGTACTACCAAATAAATACTAAAACCAAAAGGGAAGGAGTTGAAGTCATGAGCTGTGCTGGACTCAATTCACAAAGTTCAGTGCCCCTAACGGATACAAGATGTCAAGTTGTATGAAGTGTGAGAATGAGTACGATGCCAATCCATTTCTTAATGGCACCAATTCTATGAAGGTTCATATGTGACACGCTAAAACACAACACCTAACAATGGTCAAGTGTAACCAATGAAAGGGACTGCAGTATAGTGGCACAAGTAATAAATATCGAATCCATGGGTCTCTAGAGTTACTATTACTCAGCTTCATTTCATTATCTAGCAAACTAGATTAAGGATTGATTGATAAACTACTCTACTGACTACTCTACTAATTACAAGTTGGGAACTCACTTAGGTATGATTCCCCCTAGCTCCTCAATTAGGTCCAAGTTGCAATTACCTTTGGTTGATCTACTGTTGATTAAACTGCGGAAGATCCTAAATTAGCTTGGAATCTCTTAAGCAGTCCAACTACCCGGCAGACGACTAGTCTTCACCAGGATAGAAAGCTGAGGCTATGAACACAGAACTCCACTACTGGAATGAATTCCAGTACAAAGCAATGAATTGATTGACTCTCGCACAACCAATTCACCACTATCAATCAAGGAAGCTCTCTTAACCTAATCAGATTCTATCTATCATAGGTTAAAGCAGAAATCAAGAGAATTTGATCAAGATTCAATTGACTCAATAAATCATGCCTCAATCGATTATAATCAAACAATATAGCATCCAAAACTTCATACAAGAAAGATCCTAACTCATGGAACTAGGGTTCCTCAAAACCTAAGTGAAGGGAAGTTACTCCATAGAGAAGAGAGAGACTGCAGAAATCTGATCTAGATCTTCAATCTCCATCTCCAAGCTTGATTCCCGAGCTCCAATGGCGAAGAAATCCTCCAAAATAGCTCCAAGAATGTTTCCAAGTCGCTCTCTCTCTCTAGGGTTCGTCCCTTGGGTGTTTGGGATCCAAAACCCAGCTCTCCCCCTTTCCTTTCGCTGAAAATCGGGTTTTAAACATCAATTCCTGACTCACACGGCCAGGCCACACGGCCGTGTGGCTTTCCCAGCTGCCCGTGTGAAGGCTCGGTGAATTCCACACGGGCAAAAGTGCCCCTTGCTCAGCCTCTGTTTAATGCTTTGTTTCTCCCTCGTCCGGACTCCGAATCAGTCGCTGTTGATCCCAGACGCTCGTAGTCTCGTCCTCTTTCTTTTCATGACAAGCTTGCATAATTCTTTGTCCATAAAGTGAGGTAGAAATCCGTTCTTCTTCAGGTCATACCCGAGTTTCTTCTCCCAAATCGTCAATTGATCTCTGATTGACTTGAAACTTGCGCCTATGCTTCACTTTATGTGCTAGGACCTGAAATGTGACAAAGGAACACAACCTATCGTAAAATAGGCCAAAGAAGCGATAATTCAAGCTCAAACAATCAAGAAACAAAGGGGAAAACATGTGCAAATACCGAGTCATCAAATCCCCCCACACTTAACTGTTTGCTTGTCCCCAAGCAAACCTAACTCAAACCAATGCAGCTCTCCAGAGCTCTATAGCAACATACAACCCCGATCGTCGATAGAGGATTTCCTAGATCATATAGCAGCTTACGAGGTCAACTGGTCTTCTAAGACGTTCCCTATCTCTCTCAATGCTAGTACTAGACTCAAGCCAGGATCATGAGAAAAAGTAGAAGTAAGACAGTCAGTTCATAGATAAAGGGACTCACACCATTCACAACCAAGGACTCGTTGTACCGGGGTGCTCTTTCACTTCATTTCACCGTTGGAACCCCTTTTTGCACTTTCATTTTACTTTTGTTTTTCTTTTTCATTCACTTAGCGGGGGTTCCAACTGCAGTCTTTTGCACGGTCGACCCTTATTAGTCGAGCAAGAGCAATTTTTGTACATATAGCGCTCGCCAGAGTACTTCCTTTAACTATTTTTCCTCAACTCGTGTGGAGGGTCAATGAAATCAAGAGGGGTCGGAAGCTCTATCCGTGCCCTTAAAAACACATCCTCAAGTAGGCAAACCGTTCAACGAGTGAAAATTTTACTTGTACTAGAGACAGCTTAGCTTCACCTTGTAGGAGTACCCCACTAAGGATCACTAAAATCTCTTCCAAAACCCGATTTTGTGCAATGAACGGTGCCACACACGTTGGGCTTACCCCATGTTTAAGATTTCAATGATTTCGACATGGAGGACCAACTGCTTCCCATTTTCCATATGAGCACCCTGTTCGATACACGAGTCCAAAACACAATCCACATAGAGTCACCATTACCACATGAATTCAACGGTCCTAGCTCCACTAATTCACAAAATCAACTGGCACAGCAAAGAGCTAGATAGGAAAAATCTTATACTTCAACATCCTCCATAGTGCTACACTACCTCCCTAGGTTGCACATTACTATAGAGACTGTCGATTCAAAGCCTACTGAGCAGGCAATTTGCAAGGAAACACGTACTTGGAGCCCTCAAATCGAAATTTGGACAGTGTACTAGGCTCCAAGCACACAAACAGCCAAACATTCACCCACATACATAATCGAACACCCCCCACACTTAAGCACGACATTGTCCTCAATGGAGGAAAGATAAGGAGGGTAGAACGAAGTTACCAGATCAAGGGTGAATGATGATGTACGGGTCAGGCGGTGCATTCCAGGAAGAGAGAGTAATCAGAACACAAACACCACACAAAATCTCACAAAGGTTGAGTTATTGACTCTAAAATCAAATAACAAAACTGACTCAACCGAGGATAAATAGAGAAAAAAATGCAAACCGACTGGTTGGGTTGCCTCCCAACAAGCGCTTCTTTCACGTCGTGAGCCGGACGATGGCTCCTAAGTTTCGGTCCATGCTAGAACCTCCTTGAAGTTGAGGTTCTCATCTATGAGGTGGAGTCTCAAGTCACAAGCAGGTGATGTGGCAGGTGATGAAGGCTCGTGCACTTGATGCAGATGAAGTCTCCACCCTCGAGACCTCTTCTTCTCTTCTCTCGTCTCATTGCCCCAAACCAGATAAGACAGCATCGATTGGCCACCATCGCGTCCACCAAGAGGGACCGATGTCGATGTGGCCTTGGTCTGGCAAAGAGACACTGCAAATGGGTCCTTGCCAAGCAGCTCCTCGAAGTTTGGTGGAGATATCACATGTAACTCATGGCCGGTGCAGGCCTCTTCCACCTTAACTCCGTCCTCAGCCTGGACGCCAATTTCTTCTTCAACCTCCCTTTCTTCTTCATGTGGTATCACCCCTGGGAATTGATCAAGAACTCCTCCTGCTTCACTTTCGTCATCCTCCACAACTTCTTTCTGCACCCTTTCTTGCTCTTCTTCTTCTAGCACGGATTGGAGAGCAAGTTGCCAAGCAATTTCTTTCATGAGATCTTCTTGCATCTCCTCACTCATGCCCGCCTCTTCAAAGCTCGGTGTGGGATGTGGGAAGGTGTGGTCGGCTATGATAGGACATTCCTGATCATGATCATCACGAGAGCTCTCCGTGACAACTTCAGTGTGCTCCACAATGTCC